GAAAAGCTAAATAGTTTATTGCTATGGAGATGTTTAACAGTTATAGTACAAGCTTACAGCTGTGCATTTAAAACGCTAAACAAATCTGGATCTCTGTTGCACCTGGTGATAATGCAGCTCCCATATGGTCACCTTAAGCTCCACACGGTAACAACGAAAACAGTGATGGAATGTGGAAATACAGGAAGTGAAATATGATGCACCTGCAAAAAGCGGACCACTTAAACAGGTGTGTGTGTGTGTGTGTGTGTGTGTGTGTGTGTGTGTGTGTGTGTGTGTGTGTGTGTGTGTGTGTACAATTAAACCATTCTGAGAGATGAGGGCATTTTGACTCATTTTCGTATAAAATGATTCAAATTTGACTTTATTTTTGCCAAAATAATCTGACCTAATGAAGATTTTTTTAATTCTTTGCAGCTGTGCAGACAGATGTTGGATGTATTGTATTGTTTTCTTGACGTATATCTCGCATATCATCAATTCTTTCTTTCACTTTTTTCCATTACATTGTAACTTTTCTTACCTTTCCTTTTTTCGTTTCTTTCTTCTTCTTTCTTGTCCATCTAAAAAACACTGATGAAGAAGAAGCTAAGATACTAATATTCAGATACTGTAATTAGTACTGCTTTCTACTGAAGTGGAAAAAAATGACCAAATGAAGACTAACGGTTCAGTTATTTGTTGAGTTTGTGTTCAGGCATCATCAATTTAAGCAAAATAGTCACATTTAACAGTTATTACAGTTGTCCTAAGAATAATACTATACTGTAGAAAAATGGGTGTTGTTCAGAATGGTATGTCCGTATAAACAGGAATCCACTGGATTTCTTGTCAAAACTTCATTCTCAATCTTCTGACTCCAGTCAGGTTCACAGTACAGGACTCAGCAGGCCTCAGTGTAAGACCTGGAGCTGAACCAAAACACATGAGCCCTGCTCTGAGCAGAGATTGCAAAACACTAACAACTTCTTAAAACACTTCTCACTTCTATAATAATGAATTGACCTTAATATGTAATTCTCTTCCTGGTGACACCTCTGGAGGTGTTACCTTTAACACAAACACTGTGGGTCTGTGTCTAAGGATAGCAAAGGGGAATGCAATTTACTTTGAAGCAAATAGAATTAAATAACTTATTAAAACATACATATTGCTGCAGTTAATGAGGAAAATGAATAATACATATTTTATAGTGTTCTTGATTTGAATGAATAAATGAGTGATGGGTTATATGCAGGGGACTTTGTTTTTTTAACACAAAGCAATGCCTTACTCTGTTTTACACTTGTTGACGTCCTGTAGCGACAGAGGAGGGTCTCCAAACAAACGTTAGAGACCTTAGCAGGAGGATGGATGAACAGGTTGACTCAGGGTGTGTCAGCACTTGCAGAACAAAGACAGTTTCTCTAAATGAAAGAGACAGACAATATCTGAATCCAAAAAACACTTCTGCTCTCGCAGAATGACTCATTGCTCAAGTGTAATTTCTAGACTAATTTGAGTCTACAATCACATTTACTTCAGAATTTGGGATTTGATAAAAACTCTCTTCTTTCTCTTTTTGATGCATTGTCTGCAAATCTTTTTGTCTACATTAGAATATTTATAACTCTAGAGTTAGGTTGTGAGATCATTGTAGTTGGAGACAGCGTCTTCTCCTCATCATTGAGAAAATCTATGTCCGTATGTTCAGAAATATGAAAAAAAAAGTCATTTTGTTTTTATTTTTGCCAGTAAATAAAATTAAAGAGGGCAAATGCATCTTTCCTGGTAAAAACCAGACCCTTGTCCTTCACTTTGCTTCGTACGAGGGTCTGGACTCTC